GAAGGCAGGCCACAGCACATAAATAGAGAGCAAACTGCATCCCATTTTAGCACTGAAAATGTTACCTAGCTGGGTAATTAAATGTTTGCAAGAAAAGAACCAAGCTCATAGAACCCCAAGGACTCCACTAAGTAAATCTTCTCACTAAGCTACTGTTAGGAGAGCCCATGATGGATCAAAGTCTAGCACTAACAGTAAAATGTGCTTTGTAGATTTGATCTAAGATTCTTAAGAAGAGAATTTGAACCAATAATGCTCAAGCACACCTTTTGACTTAGTACCTACTATTAAAGTGCTCCTTGTGCTGTTCCTGCTATTAAATGTCTTTAGGTGGCTACTTCAAGTACTAATTTTGGATATTATGAAAGAGCAGTGTTATTTAATGTATTTTTGTGTTTTATTTTAGAATTATGTATTATATAAAGGTGCTAGGAGATTTTCTGCTTCCAGCTTTCAAATTATTTGATGTGTTTTGGATAAGAACACATTTAAATCAGTGCTATTGTTAGCTACCTTTTCTCCTGTCTCCACCTTTTCTCTTCTGTGAGGATTTTAAAATATTTTCTCAAACTCATAAGCATCTGGAGTTGCCAAATGATGACACATGTGCAATGGGATTATGACACAAAGTCCACCCTTAAGTATTTGCATCACAAGCTGGGCTTCTGTTGGAAGGCCATGATGCAGTGCATGTTTTATCACCTGCTCCCCTTCCTTCCCCATGGATATACATGCCTGAGTTTCATGGGGAAAAGGCCAGATGTAACAGGAAAGAACTATATAGTAGCTGTATATCCAAATACATTCTTAACAGTATATTTGCTTAAATCATCTTGTATATGGAGTCACTGTCAGAAATTATTTAAATCTCTCTTGCATTAAAGCTCTCAGTTAATTTTTCCTGTTCCTCCTCTTTTACTTTCTAGTTCCTTCACCAGGGCAACTTCAACACAGAGTCCACAGTGTGGGACACTTTCCAGTATCTGTCAGGCAGCCTCTCAAAGCTATGGCCTATGTGAGCCCAACAGTTCAAGGAAGCAATAGTGGCAGTGGCCTTGCATTGTCCAGCAGCAGCTTGCAGATGCACTCCAGCACAGGCATTCCAGTGCCAAACAAGACTGCTAACACAAGCATTGTAACACGTAGTAGTCTTCCTAGGCCTTCCCTGGCCATAGGTGGAAGCAGTATACCTAGGAGCAAAATTGCACAGCCAATTCGAAGGTAAGAATACATTTGTTGAAGGAGAAATTGAGCCTATATCCTTTAAATAATCATTCGCACTCCCCAAAGTTCTGTCATGAACACTAGAGATGCCTAAGTAAGAATTCTCAGTATCAAGATTGTATAGCCATGTAAATTTAATCTTTGGTGGTATCCACCAGATGGTGATGGATTCTAACTTTCGTCAGTCCCAGGAACAAGGTCAGCAAGTAGAAGAGATGGGAATTGTAAACTGATTTTAAAATAGAACTGTCCATATAATATTGTTAAATGTATAGAAGCTTATATGTAACTCTGTCAGTAAGTAAGAAGCTTATTACACCAAAACAGGCTCCAATAACTAAGTAGAATGGTCATGAAATTTTAGACAAGCACCACAACTCTTTAAAGACTGATACCTCAATCACAAACTGTATCCATAGGGGAAACCTCCTACAGGTTATCTGAATCAGAGCAAAATGTAAACTAAAGACCTTTTTTCTTTATATGAACCACTGCATTTTCAGTGAAAGATTTTGAGGATCACCACTTAAACCAGATGTTAGTAATGTGGCACTTGGAAGCATCATGGCACATCTGACCTTCCCCTAATGGCATCTATGGGACTCCAAAATAATTAATTTTCATTAAAATGTCTAAAATCTCATGAAATGATCAAATCACACAAGATTTGGTTCCCAACATGAAATCTTACGAGATTTTCAATAAGAAGGCCAAAATCATGCAGTATTTGGCAATTTCCTTATATTTTTCTTATTTTTGTTTTGTTTTGCTTGAATCAGGACTATCTCAACTGATGTCCAACTAACCGTGTCTGAGATTGGATACTAAGCAGATTCATGCTAAATTGGTCTTTAGATGGAAAATCCCAGGAATCCCAGTGTTCTAGGTTAGACTGGAAAGTTGGAAGAAGGCAATGGCAAATGATGAAATGTATTAACCAGAGCTGAGCTTGACTTGAAGTAGGCTTTTAGTGACCACCTCCAGTATCCTCAAGGGCCACCAGTACCTGCCAGGTCAGGGGCTGGAAACCACTACTTTACTGTTCTAGGAAATTCAGCCCACAGATGAAAGGATAATGAGAAGTAATCATTAGTAGTGCATAGGTAAAGTGAAGTATTCCATAATGAATAATGGGATGCACTGTGCTCTGCCATCAACCTGAGAAATCTCTTCTTTTTGCATGAATGCGACTGCGCTGGGAGAATAATTGTTTCATTATCTAGGAAACTGGGGAGTATATTTGATTTAGTATGCCTTATATTTGCAAGTCTGCTCTGATGTATTCCTGAGATGAAAAGCTGCCTGCCATGGTTTTCTATCTAGTCTCTCAAAAAGAAAAGTTGTTGTTTTCTATTTTCCTCCATAAGAGGAAGCTTTTGATTGCAATATACCCTAAACAGAATGCTGGACATATACTTTGGCCTGCCAGGGTATCACAGCTGTATTTGAGTCCCAGTAGAACCTACATTTGGCTTCTGTGGAAGAAGGACCACAGCTCTGGGATGGTTTTTGTGATGGGGTGTGTACATGATTTTGAGGGATCTGATTGAAAGAGGCAGGGCCACACAACTTTCCAGGTTTTTTTTTCTCTTTATACACTTAGAAGACAGTAAGAAGCAATTTCAGAAAAAAATTACCAGAATAGTGTCACTTTCCCAGCTTTAAGCCTCACTAATTGTTTCACATACCAAAGTGGGTTCTCCCATTCCTTTTCTTCAGATAGTATTTCAAAAATACAGTAACTTTTTTTCCTCTAAACTCCATCTTTCAGCTCTATTTAACTGTGTGCATGTAAATATATGTATATTATCATCTAAGATTAATATAAATGGGTACTCAGCACATATGCAGCTCTCTGTATTTCTAGTTAGGAAGGTGTTTAAAGTTATACTGGTTGGCATCTCTCCATCATTCAGATTGTCAGCTATTGTCTGCAGGCTCTTCTCTGGCATAGACATTTTTTAATCTTCTTCTGTCATCTTCAGCTCCACCCAGAGCTTTCTTCATTGACAAGAAGGGCCTGTTGTGGCACCTCCTCTTCGGTACACTTCTTCCAAGAGCACCCAAACAATTTTTTCTAATAGTCTTCCACGTCTGTGAATTAATCCAGCTCAGGTTTACCAGTTCTTATTGGGTTTTACTGAAACCAACAAGCCAGTTGCTTTCTAAGTCCTTTTCAGCCATTTTAGCTACAAGTCATCAACTCCATTTCCAACCTTCTTTTCCCAAGCTTCTCTATTCCAGAATCTTCTCTGATACTATTTAAAACTCCACCTCTAACGTTGATGTGATATCTGATGCTGATACTAGGCCACCTGCTGCCCCTTATACGAGAATTTCCCTATGAGAATCTAATCTAAGCTTTTTATCAAAGCAAGTAAAAACTGTTTTGTTTTGGTGTCTACATGGTTATATGGATGTTAGTGACATGCTATGTTGGAGAACTGAGTCGTCATAGATTTACATGCAAAAGATGCAAAGTTCAGTTGAGAAGCATCAACTAGTAGGTAATGGGAAACACATATACATGAGATCCATAGTAGATAATGAGTCAGATAGTTGTCTCAATTGGTTTGTGAGTTCCTGTTAGCTCTGGACTGTATTTGGTTTTATAGCCAATAAATTGGTGTGGACAAGGTATGAATTCTTTTAATTAAGCAGCTGGTTTGACATTAGCTATTGTAATTTCCTTGGACAAGCGGGTTAACTGATCACTTTTGTTAAGCCAAGGTCCATTTCATAATTTGACACCCAGTTTTATTGTGTTGATAGTTTGGTAATGAATTGTTGCTAAATGTTTGATTTCTATTATTAAACCTAAAAGCAATACTCCTGCACACTCTTAAACTATTTAATAGGGACATGAATAGGATTTGAACAACTTAATTGTGCACCCAATCTGTACTCAAAATTGTTTAATGCTTGGTGGATGAAACTGACTTCAACTTTCTTTAGATAGTAGTCTGAAGGCTGAAGAAAATGTTTCAGTTTCTGGGATGAGGCATGCTTAATTGCATCTTCTGACTTTACTGAGCGAGTGAACAAGAAGACCTAACAAAAGATTGGCAGAGGAGTTGGCTTGGGAGGTCAAGAAGGGGCACTTTTTTGTTCATCAGAGGAATACAGAGATAGTAGGTTTTAAGTTTCATCTCTGGTGTGTTTACCTTACTGTGTCTTGCTTAAAACACTGGATTCTATCTCACAGTGTCTCCTGTGTCTCCCCTTGGATTTGTCGATTGATGACTGGATTTCTGGTCTTGACCCATGCTAAGTCTATTAACTACATTTACAATTGCCATCTTAAGATACATCCAATTCACCCCTGTAAGAAAACAACTTTTTATATATAGATCTGATCATTACCATTCATGTAAGTTGATCAGGCATTTATATTCTAACTTTTCTCAACGTTACAAAAAAGAACCATTTCAGCTGAGCTCTACTATTGGAGCTTTACTAGTGAAGACATTATAGTATTATAGTTATTTCAGCTTTTGACTGCGTTGGTCTGCTGAAGACACAAACCCAATGTCCAGGGCTATTATCTGAGTGCCTTCCCTTAAACCCAGTGCTTCTTCACCCCACCTCTATAACATACAATTAAAAAAAGAGAGAGAAGCAAAGTCTCTCTTAAGTCAAGGTTCACTCCTGGATAGTACAGGTGGTTTGCCATTGCCATCTTCCAGATTTTTTAAAAATTTCTTAATCTCCCATCTGAGTGCTAATAGGCTGAACCCCAATGAATTGCCAAGTTCAGCCACCTGCTGAGACACATTAATATATGAAACAGCCCTTCAGTGCCCACCTGTGAGAACATTGGTGAGGACCTGTGGAACCAGCTAGTAGTCAGGGCCAAAGACAAATTTGGATGCAGAGCAAAGGAGTAAGCTAAAAGTCAGGAAAGTATTTTTGATAAAGCATGTCTCAGTGCTTGCTTCTAATCCTATCTGTCCAGCATGACCCATTTTCCAGTTGGCTTGGATAACATCATTTGAGGAATGGAAAATACTTCAGTGAGAAGTTGCTATCTGACATTCATTATATACCACAGAGGACTACATTTAGATCCAACAGCTTGGATACTACATGATTTAGGAATATGTTACCCATGAGAAAGATATCACCACAAGCCTAAGATTTTAGTTACTAGGGTGTGTTCTGGTTAGATTTGTGAACCCATAGCTATATTCTGCAGTATGGTTTAGACCAGGTATTCACAGCCCGTAGAAGGGAAAGGGCCACATTAAAATTAAAAATAATTGCGGGCTGCAAAGGGATACTTGGTGTGCCAATCAGCTGTTCAGCAGCTAGCAGAGTGGAGGCAGCACCAGAGCTGGTGGTGTCAGTGAGATTTGGAGGCACTTGGCAGCATGTCTTTCGGGGTGACAGTGGTGGACTCTTCCTGGCAGTGGCAACATGAGTTTTTTAAAAATGCCTGTGGCCCACACAAGGGTGCTTGGGGGGCTGTATGTTGTGCAGGCCTGATCTATACTTTCCTGCAGTTCCTGTTGGGCATTTGGCCATTTCATTTTAAAATAGAAAGGAGTGATCTTCAGGAGAAGACAAGCTTTTTGCAAGGTTGCTTTTGTTATAAATTGTATTACTGAAGAATTCTAATTTCCAAAGACCTCTACTTCAAAAAACATGATCCTTGCTGGACCAATTATATGAAAAGAGTCACATAGTAGAATGAAGTGGGGAGGAAAATGTCAGCAAAGGATTGAAAGAATCCTGCAGTCAAATTAGGAAAATACTCAAAAAACAATGTAATAGAATTTTAGAAAGGGACCTGGGAATTCCCCTAGACCACCTTCTGTTCAGTGCAAGATCGGACACCACTCCTAGCACAGAACTCCTGGCATAGTTTCTCTATTCAGTAAACATTTGAAGCTTCTTGTGATACTGGACAGATCTGAGCAAAGGATAAGAAGACTGACTTGTCATATGTTTGAAAAGACATTAGAAGGTCTTTTAAATTAAAAAGATGTGTGCACTGTATTCTCCTCCAAATCTTTCTTTCAATGGTGCTAGGATCATGTGGGTCATGCTGTGAGATTTCATCTGTGAGGGCCATCAGCTGGAACTTGTGTGCTTAGTTGTTCATGGAATTTTGCCTTATTTTATGCTAACCTTGTTTCTTTTTTAAAACAGTTTTCTCCAGCCACCGAAACCTCTTTCTTCATTTACTACTCTACGGGATGGCAACTGGAGAGATGGCTGTTATTGATGTCAGGTCAATCTGAATCACATTCAAGAAATAGCTCAGATCTCCTACCCAGCTGGCTGGGTAAATATAACTTTAGGAGTGCTATAACACAGTGCTCTTTGTTATTCTTCTGTCCTTATCGTTGTCACTAAATATATTGCACTTAGTTGTCTGCTTAAACAAGAAGCAGTATTACCAAGTTATCATTGCAGTATTCTTACTTAAAGTTTTAAAATACATGCACAAAGTACCTGAAGTGTCCCTCTTGGGAAGTCAAAATGTGACTTCTGAATGTTTGGTCAGAATGAAGTATTTAGAGCTTTTTTATTATTATTAGTGTTCCTTGCCTTATTTGCCTTCCCCTCTCTTTAGAAAGGCATTTTTGACCCTCTTGCAGATTTACAAATTATTACCTACTTCATATTTTTCTTTCATAGCCTTTCCAAGAAACCATATTTTTTTTTGCACTTACATGTTTTTGCATTTGCTTGAAACATAGAGTGTTGAAGAATTTTTTATGTATGTACCATTTTTTTTCTTTTAATGATCAGTTACTTGGTCAGAATATATTTTAAGCATATGCCCAAATCCAATTAGGTCTATCTGTGCACAGAAAAGATCAACTTTATGCAGATCTCTGTTGAGTTGCTCAAATAATTAATGAAAGTTCCAGTCAATCTTCAAAGTGAAACAGTCATTTAAATGATACAGTCAATCATGCAGGGTTGTGTACAGGAGCAGTGGGAGAGAAGGAACAGAAAGCAGAGATTGGATTTAGATGAAGACTAAATGGATCAGAAGTATGATATACAATAAAACATTGTGAATTTATGATAGTATGCACTAAAGCTTTTATTGAAATTGCCATACCTTTGAATAGTCATGAGTTTGTTCTCTCATCTCCTTGTTAAGTTAATATCACAATGTTCTATTTATAAGAAGTGTGTAAATTGCATTGCATTTAAAAGTTGCAATGATCTCTTAAATAATCAGATTTCAAAACTTTATTACAGAGAATACACTTGTAGTGTTTTATTAACAATTGTATATGATGAAAATGAATACATTTTCATGGAAATATTACATTTTTGATAAAACTTTCACAAAACATTCAATTGCACTAATAAATGCTTTCTTACTACAGAGGATGATTTGAATACTTGACTACAACTTGCATTCTGCTGATCTAGAAAGTTTCAGAAATAAAGAAATCTATTTCAGCAATATAATATTTTTGGATGTGCAACAGAAATGGACTGTCTGTGTTTTTTATTCACTCTGCTTCATTTTTATTTATTTAATAAATACATAGTCCCAGTGAGGTGAGCATCCCTTAGCCTCAAGGAAGTTAAAGACATCTGGCAGTCTGACTCCTGGTTAGAATCTGCCTGCCTCCAGTATCATATTTTAAAAGAGCAAAACTCCTTCTGAATGCCAGTTCATGTGTACCAAAATGGCACCATTCACATACAAAAGGTAGTTATCAGAAACTTGGAGAGAGCCTCAAGAATTGCAGAAATATTTCAAGGGAGGAAAAAAGCATATAATAACTAGAAATGCTGGGAAAATGCTAGAAAATCTGTGCACACATTATATGCATTATGCACCCACACTTCCACATAATCTAAGATAAGTGCACAAGTTGGAATGATCTTAATCAAAACCACTACATCAAGAGGAAGAACACCTAATTTTTTTTTTGCTCCAGCACCTTTGTTTAGAAACAATTGCACATAAACCCCAGATGAATGCAATTTCATTTTTTGAAAAAATGATTTGGTGCGAATGAGTATCTTTTGGAGGAGATTCTAAAATATTGTGGGAGTAGTGAAAAAGTGGGATGAACTACTCTGAAAGCGGGTGTGGTTGACTGGCACACTAAACAGAAGAGTGCCCCATACTGCAGTGTTTTGTTTCAAGTCCCACAATCTTAAGTTTAAAATTAGAATAGAAGATTATTCCAAGATTAAACCCCAGGAACTGGAATGTAAAATCAAGAAGTATCTCTTTGTTCAGTCTCACATGATGGATTTCCAAGTCAGTTCCTTGCACCCTCAGTTTCCAATGGTCTTTCAGGTCAGTCTTGGGCTGGGAAGGGATGTGTCCTGGCAGACATTCAAGTGGTACAATTTCTTCAATCACTTTATATAGTCACCCCTAATAAAAATTTACCTGATGCATCTATACAAGTCATACACCTCTTCCAAATTCTACCCAGTATAGTAATTGTACAGCAGAAACTGGACACATAATATTTCAGAGTAAGGTAAATGGAGTCCCAATGTTAATTTGTTTTCTGCACTTTTTCTCCATTTGAATTTGATAAAGTAAGATGTAAAATGTTGAAAAACAAATATTGAGACGGTGAAACTCACTTCTGCCCCAACCTGCACATCCTTGTCCATATGAATAAACAGCTAAACTAAAGAAAATCACAGTGCTACATCAGACTGCATGCCACAGTATATGTCACAAGTCCTTGCTTGTAGGAAACAAAACATTTGCTCCAATGATCCCTGATCTCTCCTGGAGAAAACCTATTAGTCACAGCAGAGTCAACTTAATTAAGAAATGGGGACTATTGAACAATATACTCCCAACTTGGAATCTGCAGATTCCACTATTAATAACTTATAATAAATTATATAGAGCTGAGTGCTTTAGGAATTCCTGGTGGTTTATGTTACATAAGTGAAATTCTTAAGTATAGTATGGCATGAAAAACACTCAGATAACATGAAATTCAGTATATCATTCTGTTTGGCTGCAAGGCCAACTGGAAGGTTTGCCATCAGGCTCTTCTTCCCTCAATTTTTGTCTGCTAAACCAAAGAAAATCCACAAGATCTGGAGCTTCGCAATTAATTTATTTTGAGAAAGCTAACAAATGTTGAAAGTTCATCTGGACACATGGTAAAACAGCAATGCTATGCCAGACTCCACCATAAGGCATCACAGACCCTAATTAGTGAGAAAGAAAACTAAATAGCTCTGTGGGATCAACCTATCATGGCCATAGGTTATGACATCATAACACAAACACCTCTTAGTCACCTCTAGTATGTGACATTGTGACAAAAGTACAAAAGCACAGTGGTTGCATCATGAAGACATGACACACATTTTGTTACTGCAACATCATTGTGATTAGGAATGACCCTATGAACAAGGGTCAATATAACTAAGAAATACAGATTGTGGAAACAGTACAAGCTGTTTTGTATTTTAAAAACATCAGAATTTTTAAAGATTTTGAAATGAAGGTTCTCAAATAACCTTTTTCCAATACTTCCTGTGGTGTTTTTCAACTTAGAATAGAATAGAATAATATAACTCTGTACTCCTGTCTGCCCCGCAAACTGTACAGGCTTATTTAGGAGTGCAAATCCCCTCGCCCCTAGGTAAACCTGCACTTTCCTGTTTGTGATATTCATTATTTTCAGAATAAATTCTAATAACTAATTTTGAATAATCTAGAAAATACGTTGCTTCTCATGTGGAAAAGTAGAAACCTAAGCAGGGACAGCTGTTCTCAAGACAAGTTAAAAACCATTTCCTGTAAGTTTGGGCTTAGAAGTAAGCTGTGGTATGGCAATAATATTGCTGATACTTCATCCCTTTCATTCATGGCTACATTAAAAATCAATCCCTGATTAGCAATATGAATACTGTAAAATGTTCCTAGGGGTACATTTGAACTAAAGACTAAGACATGTAATTACCTTGAAGCACAACTGCTGTATTGACAGTGTTGAAAGCCAAGACGGGCCTAAAGAGGGAAGGGCTTACAATCCCTCTATAGATGTATGCGTCTAGAAGTTAAAGTATATGCATAACTGGGTACAACAGCAAAGTATCTGACTGGATATAGCACATTGTGCACCTAGTAAGGTCAGTGAGGCCATTAAGGTATAGCTATAAGGTAGCGGGGCAGGACTACAAAGACAATGGGGCTTTGAAACAACAAAGAGACAATATTGGATGAACATTCTTTCTAGGGAGTTACTTTCTTTTGCTTTCCCAGAGCTCTGCTGGCCTCCCAGCATCTCGGCCTTTAGAATGCTCTCCTCTCCCTTCTGCTTTCATGTTGGAGTGTAACAGTTACTCTAGTGGAAAACAAGCTGCCTTTTTGAAAGTTGAGTAGCTTTTTTTAAAAATGGAAGCCCCTTCTGGAATGATCTTTGGGGCCTTGTATTAAATCTGGAAAGCATGAGGAAATTTTAATAACTGGGTATTAATAAATGGATTTTAATAACTGGGTATGGATATTTTTTCCTTGACTGAGCCTTCTGCGCATATGTGTATACGTAGGTAGATATGTAGATAAATAAATAGATCCATCTATACTGTCATCTATATGAGAGCTAACCTTAGCCTTAAATTCACAATGCATTCCCAGGAGTCTTCTTTCTTTATGTGGCCAGAAACTGTTAAAATTTAATCTTGATCACACCTTACTCAACTCAATTTTCTGCATTTGTTGTTGTTGTTGTTGTTGTTATTATTATTATTATTATGCCAAATCCAGTCTAAACATCTGGCTGACTGTGCATACAACCATAATAATAATTTAAACTTGTATGCCACCCGACTCTCAACTAGTCTGTTAAGTAATGTAATGTAATTGATAACATCCACCAGACAGTTGGGTTAGCATACTGGGGCTAAAATGTGTTTGCCTAGTTAATTTTGTTATTACGAACCTTTCTATGCTGCTCTACTCTCAATGGCCCAGAGCAGTATACACAAAATAAATAGAAGATTAAACGTAGCACATTATTACGTAGAACAGTAATAATGTACTGGCACTGACCAACAGTGGTAGATACCAAAATCTAACAACCACAATTGGGATTGAAACTTCTGTTACTAAACAATGTGGTCATTAAGAGAGTCATGCCCAATTTTATGACCTTTTTTGCCACGATTGTTAAGCGAATCATCACAGTTGTTAAGTGAATCATGTCGTTAAGTGAATCCAGCTTCCCCCATTGTCTTTGCTTATTGGAAGCCCCCTGGGAA